GTGGGATCCGAACCCTCGGCGGGAGCGCCGCCGCTCTCCCAAGCGGCGCACTGTAGCAGTGAGCCACCGGGCCAGCCCTTATATTTCTGTTTTTTGTCAACTTATATTATTATTTTAATTTCCAATTTGAGGTGTTTTTTTTTTTCTTGGCCTGAAATGTTTATTTAAGGATATTTGAGTTTGAAGTGTTACATTACAGCTGTCTTCAGCTTTGTGGATCAATTGCTTTAGAGAATTTTCATCAGGAGGAAAGATTTATTTCATATTGACTTTTGCAGTTGTTTTGTAATGATGGAGACGGATTTGTTTTTCTATTTTTTATTTCATAGAAAGAGTCCTTAGTTCAAGAGCACCCTTTTCTGTGCAGTGTCTTTTATGGGTCACATTGTTGACAATGATGGGGGTGAGGTGGGATGGACTGGTACCTCTTGTTTCTCTTTCATTTCTGCAAAATCCTTAACGTTCCCCTGCTACTTCCTTCTTTCCTGTCATTGTCTAGTCTCCAGAGGATTTCATCCCCTCTCTATTTATCTGATTCTTCCTAGGAGTAATGATTCTCCAAGGCTGCCACTACTGGTTATATACACTTTCATGTCCCTTTCTTATAGCCACTGCTGAGAACCACCATGTCCTGACCTATGTTCAGTATTTTCCCATTTATTGTTGTACTTTCTTTTTCTGGTAGTGATTCTGTTTGTACTTCAACTAATTCCTCTATTTTCCCCTACTCTTTTTCAGACTTTCTTAAGCCTTCCCTCTTCTGCTCTCTGTACCCCAGGTTTCAGTGGCAGGGAAGCTGCAGGGATTTTGCTGGAATTTTTTTTCCTCTATTTATATGTACTTTGAGGTTGTGATGTTCTCTCTTAGTTATATTGAAGACATGCGTCCTCTGTGTTCTATTTGCTCTCTTGGTCAATTTTATGTTTTGGGGGGGACAGTGTAAGGGAAGTTCAAAATCAGATGATTGCCATTGATCTCTAATAGTGTACTTTTAACTCTCTACTCTTACTATATTTTATTTGTTATTTGTGTTTTTGTTTTATGATATCATCATTGTATTTGTTTTTCTGTAAGCTACCTCAAATTCTTTGACAAACAATGCAGGTGAAAATAAATTTTTAGTTTTTATTATTAACAACTGACTGTAAAAAATGTTCTTCCTGGAAGTTTTTTGTTTTTTTTTTTCCTTTAGTAAGATGAGGTGTAACAAAACAAAAAGGAAAGAGAAAAAACTAAAAAGAAAATGAAAGAAAAAGGAATAGAAAAGCAATGAGACTGGTCATTTTGGTCTATAGATATCTGGTTTTGAAAGCAATTTCAAAGAGAAGTTTTAACATTTCTTTCAGCAATAATAGCAGGACTTCAGCACATGTACAGTCTCCAAAAGTGATTGCTGTTAAGATCTAGACAATTTTATAGTGTATTATTTGCATAAGTAAGCTCTGGGATATTATAAAGCATCACTGCTTTATAATTATACATCATATGTTTATGCACACACACACAAGAAAACCCATATACACAATACATGCACTTACTTGTTTCACATTCTGGAGTTCTTCTGTCAATTGTTTCCTTTGCCTCTCTGATTCAAGTAATTTCTCCTATATTTAAAAACCAATGAATTAATTTGTTATGAAGGTATCAATGAGTATGACTTTCAGTGCTTTGTTTCAAAGCTACTATATTTCCCAAACATCAAATTGCTACAATCTGAAAAGGGAGCTCCCAGTCATTTTTCTGGCTTTTTCCATACTACTTTAAAATAATTAGTTATCTACAGTACAATTGTGATATAAACGTATGTTCTATTACTTTAATTTTTAAAATCTCAAAATCTGAGGTTCAAAAAAATCAGTCAGAATCAAAATATATAAATATTAACAAAATTTTGGGCACCAGCTATTGTCACCAAAGAGCTTCCAAAATGAAGAGAATTATTATTACAAATTAGAAGTAATGGTCTCTATACCAAAGAGGACATAGAAGACCAAGTTGATTATAAGTTTTCTAATTTAATTTTAGCTAATTCTTGAAAAATTACACACAAAAAGGAAGCTATGGCTGGTATAACCAAAATATGAAATAATAGCTATTAAGATGGATGAATATCATGTATGCAAGTAAAATATTATCTTTGTCAAGAATATACCCTAAAATGTTCAGTTTTTTCAAAGTATATCTTAAATAAATCCACATTTTATTGATCAAATCAGAAATACTAAGATTAAATTAAGAGCCATTTTACCATAAACTTGGGCAGAGGAATTGCTTGAACATTACATTGAGTGGCAAAAATTCATTGTAATGTTGACAAGAGGCAATCTGCTTTCTGGTATATCTCAGCTCCTTCTTGTCTAAGAGGTGAAATGAAGGTATATGAAGATGAATATAATATAGCTATCTAATGAAT